TGTGTGCTATGATCAAACATGTCCATTTCCCTGAGCTGTACCTTCAGTGCTGTCCTCTGAAATAAATTCTGGAGGATCAGGGCTGGCCCCTCAGACCTCTCTATTGGTTCTCAGGGATTTTTTTTTTAAGTTCTTTGATTTCTTCTACTGATTCCCCCCCCCCCTTCATCTTATTGTTGATTTTTAATTTTATAACATTGTGCTCTGAGAAGATGGTTTGTAATATCTTGATGTTTTAAAATTTATTGAGGCTTTGCTTTGTGTTATAACATATGGCCTATTCTGGGTAGTACCCATGCGACTGGAAAATAACATGTATTGTACTGTTGCTGAAAGGAGTGTTTATGAGATAAGTTGGTTGATCGTATTATTCTGTCTTTTAAGACAGAATTTCTAGTTTTATATTCCATTGAAAGTGGAGTATGAAAATGCCCTACCATTATTGTGAGTGTTTCTCTCTTTGATTCTTTAAGAGTGTGATTAATGTATATTTATGCTCTTCCATTGAGTGTTGGAACCCTGGTGGCATAGTGGGTTACTTGTTGGACTGCTAACTCCAGGTCAGCAGTTTGACTCCACCAGCTACTCTGGGAAAAGATGAGTCTTTCTATTTCCGTAAATATTTACAGTGTCAGAAACCCTAAGGGGTAGTTTCACATGGTCCTGCAGGTTCAGAATTGAGTTGGAATGGACTCCGTGGCAATGAATTTGGATTGGGTTCTGGTTCATTGCAGTGCATAGATATTTACTGTGGTTATGTCCATTTGGCCCTTTGGCTAGTTATATAATGCCCTTCCTTACCTCTTATGCCAAATGATACCTTAAAGTCTACTAGAAATTAATATTACCACCCCTGTTCTTTTAGGATTGCCACTAGCTTGGAGTGTTTTTGTCCATCCTTTGATTTGTAGTCTATTTTTATCTTTATGTCTCCTCAGGGTTTCTGAGACTGTACATCTGTAAGAAAGCAGGTTGCCTCATCTTTCTCCCATACAGCTGCTAGTGGTTCTGAACTACTGATCCTGTGGTTAGCAGTCCAAGGCTTGGCCAACCACTACAGCATCGTGGCTTCTCTGGGGGAGGATAGTAAAATTCAATTAAACAAATATTTGAGTGTTTTCTATGTGCAGTGAAGTAGATGCATACTATCTTTACTGTTTACTTGGCAGGGGAGTGAAGGGGCAGGGATTAAATGCATAAGTAAAGTGAGGTAAATTTTATAAAAGGTGAACTATAGTGTATTATGATATATAGCAAAGAGATTTAACTTCATCTCTAGTAAAGTTTCTAAACTTTATTGACCATTAAAATATCTTGGAATGCATTTCAAGGGCAAATTCTTGGTCTCTATCTTCTTCTCAGTAGTCCTCAGGGATGTTTACAGTCTGCCCAGATAGGAATCAGTGTGGGTGGACAAGCAAAGCTACAGGTCTGTTAGGAGCCAGTGGTTCATTTGTAGACTTCTCGTCTTCCACCACGGAGGTCTTGCTTTGGTTTCTGGCCATTGCTCTCTGGTGTAGCCACCACCTGTGTCGGTTGAGGCTTGCATTTTGCTTTGGTGCTGAGCAGCTTTCAGCAGAACCTCTAGACCACAGCCTCGGGACTGCAAAGTAAGGCCTCAACAAGTGAAAACCTTGTGAATCATCTAATGTGTAAATGCTCACAGGATGGCACTGAAGCAGGTGAATGCTTTCTGCTGTTGGGTTAGGGGCTGACTTTATGGCAGCCAACAACAATAGGGGGTAGGGGGCCGAGGTAGCAGTATATATGAAGGCTTTTGAGTAGGAGAAGGTTGAATGTCTTCAAAAAATTGAACACAATCCAGAGTTGAATGAAGCCCGGTATCTGAACTGGGGTGGAGGGGAATGGTAGGACGGAGTGTCTCCATAAGTTCAGTCTCTTCCCCAACAGTTTTATTGGCTTATAATTCACATATCATGAGCTTAATAGTTAAGTCACATCAAGAAGAGTTGTACAGTCATCACAACAATCAGTTTTAGAATATTTTCTTCATTCTGTAATTGTTATTAGCTACTCATCACCCCACCCCACCCCGCCCCAGCCTCCCTTGCCATACCCCAAGGGATCATTAATCCAGTTATTGCCTCTATAGCTTTACCTACTCAGGATTTCATGTGCAGAAAAACTGAAAAACAAAACTAACGAGTAATAAAGTAGAACACTAAAACCTCAATTGAAGAGAAAGCAGAAAGTATTTAAAATTAGAACAAATTTAAATGGATCATGAAGAAGATCAAATGCTAAATTATAGCCTAAATGCATTCACAATAGTCGACTTTCCAATCCACTGCATGATAGCAAGGCAATTCACATACCTGGTACTTGGTCAGAAGGGATTCACCAGGGACTTAATCCATGTGTATCCCCCCCTTTTTAAAAGCAAACAAACCTGAAACACCTTTAAAATGGGTCAAAAGGGAGATCAAATGATGTTACGGTTTGACGTAACTACTTCTACCATAATGGACTTTACAATGTTCTCTTTCTGATAACAGGGCTAGTCACATTCCTCAACTGAGACCAGAACATGTACATAATTCTGATGGAGCATTTATGCTATTTTGGTGACTGCTCACTCTCCAGGAGGTAAACTCCTTGAAGATCAAAACTATGTTTTGTTTCTAGTTGTAGTTGTGTCATTTAGCACATAATAGGAGCTCAACAGATATTTGATCCAATGATCAGACATTTGCCTAAAGAGACTTACTTATAGTTCAGAATTGAAATAGGATATTGTATTGGAGCTCAAATTTGAGTCTTAGGTTTGCAGCACTATGGTGCTAGCGAGGAATATTGAAAGTACAATGAATGGCTACCAAAAGATCAAACAATCTATCTTAGAAAAAGTACAGTCAGAATACTTCTTAGAAGAGAGGATGGTGAAACTTCATCTCACATACTTTGTACATGTTATCAGGAAAGATCAGTCCCTAGAAAACAACACCATGCTTGATAAAGTAGAGGGCAGCCAAAAAGTGGGAGACCCTCACTGAGATGGATTGACACAGTGACTGCAACAAGCGGGTTCAAACGGAAGAACAGTTTTGAGGATGGCAGTGTTTTATTCTGTTGTACAAAGGATTGCTATGAGTAGGCTTCAACTCCATAGCAGCGAACATTCAACACCAGCAGTAGCTCTGCAGAAGGCTCTCGATAACAGTGAGAGCCCAAAGCCAATTTGTAGAGTCCCCAGGTGGATTAAGCGTCCGTTGAATTCCTTCTGAAACACTCTCGTATCCTCAGGCAGAGCGCACTGGAAAGCAGATTACCCCTGCTAGCCCCCAGCCCAGGGAGGGGCAGTCTCCTTTAGGGGTTGCCAGGATTGGCCTTGATGGAGAGTAGAGTCTATGCCGACTCATAGTGACATGAGTCATGTCCTGACTGCCGCGTTTGGAAGGCTTTGGACCAATCTTGTAACCTCTTCTGCCTAATGTAACGTACACGTCCCAGCCGTGGTCCCATTCCTGATTCTGTAGTCCTACATGAACTGTCGTGCATCGATCTGCCACCACCTGCCCCCCACATGTTGTTGAGTCTCTGAATCTCGGCAGACACTTAGAAACAGTGTGACTTTGTGCTGCTAACTAGTCTCCCTCCTCTGGATGATGTGTCTTCGTCCTGTTTAAGATTTAATAAAGGTCCTCTTTAAATTATATTTGAGATTTGGGGTCATCTTTGTACCCTAAAACGATAGCAGCCTAAGAACCTTCTTCTAAGCCTAGGAACCCTTACTTAAAATGAAATTTTATGCACAAGCCTAGATTAAACAGAACTCTGCTGGTTGTGTGCGGGAGGTGCTTTTCTCGCTGTAACATTCCAGCCTGGGCCTCCATACATTTTACTTCCCTTGTTCCTCTGTCTATTCACACGAACACTTAGGCAATTTGCTGCCTCCCCTTTTTGTCTCCCCAAATATCAAGACCTGGTCTTTTTCCTTTTCTATCTGCATTTAGATCAGGTGCTACCTGGTCCTCCCAGCCTTCCTGGTCATACCCAACTACTCCAGTGGTTTCCTGACAGTCTTAGAGTCCTTGGCCTACTTAGTTTTACCCTGCTCTCCCACTCCAGAGTCCTGACACTGTTTAGCAGGTAGCCTGAGCTCTTATCAAAGAATGGACTGCAGGGAAGAAGCATTTTGGGAGGCACATGAGAGGGCACCATCTAAACTGTGATTTATTATGAAAATAGAGGCTGTGCTTTTAAAAGGGAAAGAGAGGAGAGATGGGAAGTCAGTATCCTGTTGTCCACTGAGTCAATTCTGACTCACAATACAGAGTAGAACAGCTCCGCTCCCTAGGGTTTCTGAGGTTGTAAATCTCTATGGAAGCAGACAGTCATCTTTTGGGGAGTGGCTGGTGGGTTTAAAGTGCCAACCCTTCAAGGTTAGCAGTTCAACCAGTGGGTAACTCATAAGTGGGTTGAAATAGAGTGGGCTGGTGGGCTTGCTAGAGAAATGTCGGAACTTGGGTGGCTTTGTGTCTCAGTGGAGGTTGTTGATAATGACTTTATAATGCCACTGGTATGCCAGTGTGTGTGTGTTTTCTCCCCCCCTACCCCCCACCTCCTCAGTAATGCTCAGCTGCTTGGGTATAGACACTGAATTAGAAAAAGGTTGAGTTAGTCAGCTAGAATTAAATTTTATCTGGGATGAGTGTTAGAATCCAAATCTGTCATGTACAAATGGTGTGACCTTGAATAAATTATATAACATCTCCCTGTCTCCTTTTCCTCATCTGGAAAGTGGGAATAAAAGGAGTACCTATCTCACAGGGTTGCTTTCAAGGTGAAATAAGTCACTGTTTGTAAAGCATGTAGATAAGTGCCCGTCATAGGAAGTACTCTATGCACTGAAGCCTACGAGCACTAGAACCTGTGTGAAGTGGAAACGGTTTTCCTGTGAAGGAGTAGTGGAAGTGTTCGGAGTAAACCTTATCAAAGTGGGAAACTTGGGAAACCCAGAAAACATGGCACGCTGCCACTGAGGTCTGGCTCGCACCGCTCTACTGTCTGCAACTCTTCACAATAAGCCGGTGTTCTGCCAGCCCCTAGCGACGGCTTCCTGTCTCTCCTCTCCATAAAGCTTTTACCATATGCTCCCTTGAACTAGTCCTCTGCATGTTTTTTGTTGCACTGGAAACTTTTTCATTTGGCTTGTCAATCTACAATTTGCTAGGAAAGGTCGTTAACTATTTCCCTCTTACACATCTGACTTCAGCCGTTAAGCGTCTCATGAAAGAAGCAGCAGAACTGAAAGATCCAACAGATCATTACCATGCACAGCCTTTAGAGGTGAGTTTATATTTTTATATCATCCTTTGGATTTTAATGCATCAAATTCCTTAAAATGGTCTTTTTATTGCTTTGAGGCATTATTAATATGTGTGATGTGATTTATTGATCGGTCGAATTATATTGCATTAGCTGTTCTGAATGAAGGAAACACTTTTCTACTCCCTGTAAAATGGATTTCAGGTCTTGAGTTGTGTAGGGTGGGAAAGTGGCCAAAGCTCCGGACTCTTTAGTTTGGAAGGTCCAGGCTCTCAGTGGCACTCTGCAGCCAGCCCGGACACTTTCATGCCAACATAGTCACCTTCTCAGGGAAAGAGGGGATTGAAATCTCCGTGTCATTTCCATGGTAATAATGAGAATAAATTGTAATAATGCATGTGCAATATTGTGTAAACTGTCAAGTTCTTGGTAACTATAAGACAATATTAGTAGCATACACAAGCTTATTTACTGTTTATTAATGTCAAATTTAAGCTTATACCATATATACTCGTGTATAAGCTAAGTTTTCCAGAGCATTTTAAATGCCGTTTTTATGGTAAAATTAGGTGCTTAGGATGATATTCGGGTCAGCTTATACTCGAGTACATACGGTACTCTTATTTATGAATACATAACAACTTAAAAGTTTTGTAACGTTTTGTTTAAAAATAATGTAGCTCTAATAGTACATTAAAGCTAGATTTAATAGCTACCCAACTTTAATTCTTGAAACAAATTTAATGCATTAGAAACTGTTCTAGCAATAGATTACAACATCTACTTTTTTGTGGCCTAGTAAGATTTCTAATATTCATATTGGTCATAAGTGTTCAACAGTAATGTTAATGAATCCTTGTTTTGTTTTAATTCAGGATAACCTTTTTGAATGGCACTTCACTGTTAGAGGGCCCCCAGATTCTGATTTTGATGGTGGTGTTTATCATGGACGAATAGTACTGCCACCAGAGTATCCTATGAAACCACCAAGCATTATTTTACTAACGGTAAATATTATTTATGGCTTTTGGGAATGCTGTGGTTTAATTCTTCATGGTGACTAAAAGTCGAACATTGTTGTAATTTTGTGTTTGGAGTTCCCCTCTAAATAATTCCTAGTATCTGCAGCCAATTAAGCCGACCGTCCTCCTCCTCGTGGGGGCCGGTGTGCAATGGCTGCATACAGCAAGCCTCCTTGGTAGTGTATGCAGCCTATTGGTATGTATAGGCTGCCCTAAGGGACCTTGGAGACAACCTTTTGCTACTTTTCGATGCCACTGGTCTGGCTAATTTCTGCTCTCCCTAAACTAGGCTCCAAACTGGGATGCGAGGTGCTTTTGGGAAACTTCAAGGCACAGTGGCTAGAGTCCACATTGGCTAGGTTATCATGTCCATCTGCACCAAGCCTCAAAACAAGGAACATGTTTTTGAGGCCTTACACAGGGCCAAGTTCAAGTTCCCTGGGCGCCAGAAGATCCACTTCTCCTAGAAGTGGGGCTTCACCAAGTTTAATGCTGATGAGTTTGAGGACATGGAGGCTGAGAAGCGCCTCATCCCGGATGGCTGTGGGGTCAAATACATCCCTCATCGTGGCCCCTTGGACAAGTGGCGGCCTTGCATTCATGAAGGCTTGGTAGCCCTGTGCTGCCTCACTGTACCCATCAAATAAACATTGAGCTTCCTGGTTAAAAAAAAAAAATTCCTAGCATGCTGATACATTGAGAAGTACTAATGATAAAATAAATGCATCACTGTGATCGTGTGGTTAATTAGTATTTAATGAATTAATATATCACAGTACTGAGCATAGTGCCTAGTATATTATAAATAAACAATAAGAGTAGCTAACTCTGTCCTATGCGTCACAGTGAGTCAGAATTGATGGCAAGAAGTTTGATTTTGGAATGTTATATAAATAATCAGAATGTAGAATGTACAAAGTATGAATCTAGGAAAATAGGAACTCAAAAATGAAATGGAATGCATAAAGATCAATATCCTAGTCCTTAGCTGAAATGAACTGTTACTGGCCATTTTGAAACATACACTTACTGTGTTGGGGATGACAAATACAGGAGGAATGGTGTCACGTTCATTGTCAAAAAGAACATTTTAAGATCTGTCTTGAAGTACAATGCTGGACAGTAACTATATGAATACAAGGGAATCCAGTTAATACAACTATTAATCAAGTATACCCACCAACTATTAAGTCTAGTGATGAAGAAATTGAAGAATTTTACTAACTACTGGTACTTCAGTCTGAAATTGATCAAACATGCAATTAAGATGCATTGATAATGATTGACTATTGGGATGCAAAAGTTGGAAACAGAGGAAGGAACAGTAGTTAGAAAATAAGGTCTTTAAGCAAATGTGGTGAAGAAAGCTGATGGTGCCTGGCCATCAAAAGATATAGTGTCTGGGGTCTTAAAGGCTTGAAGATAAACAAGCAGCCATCTAGCTGAGAAACAACAAAGCCCACATGGAAGA